CTTGGGACGACTTGAAACTCGTGGGAAAGTCGGGGGCGCACCAAAGTTACCATTCGTGCAACAGGCGCAAAGCTAGCAGTGGCAAAGCGCGGATGATTAGATTATCGTCGCGCTCCGCCACTGCTAGCTTTGCGCCTGATGCACGAGTGGTAACTTTGGTGCGCACATGCAAAATCCTAGCTCGTTCCCGCTTTTTTTTTTTTTTTTCTCCCGCGATTTGCGCGCGCAGTATCGGTTCCCGTGACACCCGAGCTTGTAGTGGGTTCTTGCGTGTACATCGCACTGTGAAGCGCGAATGCGCTGCGTCTGCGTTCTGCTGCCATACCATACTTATCGCACCCGTGCTTATCGCCAATGTTTAAATAAAAGCATCCCCGAACAAACATTTGGCACTTTTTTTTTTTTTTTTTTCGCGTGTTTAGGGTGTTTGCTTTTGCTGAAACCGTTTCCGCGCTCCTCATTCGTGTCGTAAACGTAACAATAAAAAGCGGTAATTGGTTGTCTCTAAGTACAAAACGAGCGTGTTGGTAACGGTAATTAGACATGAGGAAGATACATATACGTATACTTTCTCAAATCTGTGAACCACGTATACCGTGCGAATACACGCGCTGGCACACAAACAGCAAACCGGCGGGAGGACAAGGAGAACAGTGGGAATGTCCAGCTGGGCGATGCAAGCTCTAGACCGTTGTGCTAGAAGGCATCCATGCAATTTACTTGTGTGAAAAACCTTCCTTTTGTTATGGTCTTACTTTGCTAGTTTTGCCAGTCACTTTTTTTATTAACAGACTTCTTTTTTTTTTTAAACTTCTATTCACTCATGCTTGTTCTAGTAAGGATGATATCATGAAGTTTTCAATATTTTTAGTTTGTACTTTTATCAGATAGAGTAAGTAGATCTGTACATTGTTAACTTGAGTATTGGAATACATTTCTGTTTGCTTGAGTTGCTAAGCAGGGGCTTTGAACATTTATATTTCCTAATAATGAAAACGGTAATCAGTAAGTATTGGACTTAATTGCATGCCATGTTATTTCATCTTGAAATGGTTTTGTTTTCAACTTATGGAACTGTGATTTGGGTTGCTAAATAGGCGCAACGTTTTGTTTTTTGTGCTTATTTTGTTGACTATGCATTCTATTGGCAATTCACAAGAAGGACAACGCCGTTTGCTTTTTTATGCATTGGGCCGGGTTACATTTAACGAAACGGTATGTTTGGAAATGGTTCTGGAACGTTACATACGTTACATAGAAATGCCTTTTTGTTATATTTTTGTATTTAGAAAAACACTTCCGGCTGCTGAGCTGCTAAAAAGCACAGCTTTTACTGCTCCAAAGCTGCTGCAAATGAACACCTTGCCTGGTCCCTGACCTGCTACAGATGGTTGAAGCTTGTTTCCGTCCCCGATCTTGGTATAAGAATAAAATAAAATGTTTCCTTCGATTTTTAGCAGTGTTCAAAACGTTTTTGCATGTGACCTATCTAAGATATTTTAAAGACATTAGCATCATTGGGAAGCTCAAATTTAGCTCTTTTTAATGAATACAAATAAAAAAATCTTAAGTGCAAAATAAAGTTTCTGAGAAATTTGATGAATGATTCTTTAGAAAATCTAGAAAATCAAAAAAATTTCAGTGGTGCAGCTGCTGCAACATTTGTGCCGAACTGCGCCAGAACGAATTACCTGCTGCATGCTGCTCCGAAGGCTGTATTTGTGCACAATTTGCGCCATGTCTGCACCAAAATGGAGTTCTCGAAAATGGAAACTAAGTGTCTGGCACGTGGTATTGTTGGCGATGCCCCTGAAAATTAAGAAAGTACTTTTTTTCTTTTTTGGATGCCTAAGTACTTTGTGCGAAGATTAGGGTTGTGCGAATATCATAATTTTGGAATACTAGTTTCAAATAATACGCTATATAATATTGGGTTAGCCCCCTTGAGTGCGCTTCTCCGCAGCACTCCGGTGCTTCTCCTCAAGCACCAGTGCACTGCAGAGAAAGCAGTACCCGCGGAGCTGACACCGCGATCTTGCGACTCGCTTCGCCGCAGCGCAGCTGTGCGCTTAGGTGAAAAACACACCTTCAAAGCGGTATAATGCACGCAAACGCTAACATGTTGCGATTGTTGATATTTACACTGCAGTAAATCTTCAAAATTTAACTGTGGCTATTGTGCAAGGCTATATGTGAGTCAGCAATGTTCTGACAACCTGTGTTCATCATTTTTTTCCTTTGCATTCAGAATTGAAGAAAATATTTGCAGATAGCAAGAAGATTTATAAATCCCCTCAGTTAGATATGGCTGGGCTCCTTTATAGGTATAATTTTGTCAAATCTTGTGTACTTGCCATACCAATGTAGGTATTGCACTTTCTGAGGCCAGTCTATAAATAACTAGGTTAAATTTAACAGAGCTCATAAGTGGGCAGTTGGAAGCTTGGTAACTATTTTAGCGCATTCAGCTGAAGTTTTACTAACAGAAGTGAAACGCGTGGTGGAAGGTGCAACCACTATTCAATTAAAAGATAATTGGCCAGAACCACTATCACTTTAATTCGCTTCGAGCCCAAAATCCATTATTTGAACATGCTTAACGAAGGGTTGTCGTTTCTTGTGAAAATGGTGCTCACCTCGATTGCAATGAATAGCTAGCACTGTTCGTTGTGATCGTTTATAATAGCTATGTGGTCTGCTTCATAGAGTTATTATAATGTACGCTAGAGGTTCAACTGGCGCTAGTGTCTATGCGACTTCCGGGAGGCAAATTGAAGCAGACAGCAACCAGTCTACTTTTGCGGTGCTCCTGTGCATTCCTATGGGAAAACGCACGTGAATTTTGTCTATTCGCCGTAAAATAACACGAATAACTTTTGTTATTTCGGTTGTACCGGATAGTATGTACCTTTATTGATATTGTGAAAGTGTAATTGATTGAGTTACAACATTTTTCTTTACCACTGAACGACGTTAAACTTCTCTCTATTTCAGGCTCAAACCTCTGTTCAACAGCCGGTGTGTAAAAACAAGCGACGATTCTAAGCAAAATAACAATCGAAAGGAATGTAGAGTGCGTTTAAGGTTCAATAGCATTCCGGTGGCGCTTATATATTGCTAATATGTCCGTTCTGTCACTATATGAAGACTCCGTCGTGCATCTTTACAGTCTGCTAAAAAAATAAAGTATGTGGGCTACGAGAGGTGTGTCTTTTTAGTATTTTCCTATGTCGGGCAGTTTTAATCGGGCACCTGTTCTCTGGCTTCTCCCCATTCGCAAAGATCTGGAGCCTGCGGGTGATGATTTGAACCCAGAACATGCATCTTTGCACATATTCACGAGCAGAAAGAAGAAAGCAGTACTTATTTATTACAAATCTGACCATAGTACGTGACTTTCAATTTATTTGATCGTCTGCATGCACAAAGAGTTACTTATCCAGTGTTACTGTGTAGTTCTTGCCGTCTCTCTTGGTTTTCCACATGTCCTTCGTTCGTTTGGCAAGTATGTCCCTCATGTTGAAAAGTGCCGACGCCGTGTTCGCGCTAACAGTGTCCGACAGTGCACATAAATACACGTACGAAGCGGTTTTAGCATCGTTTTTCGTGCCACGAATTTCGAATGAAAACGCTGTAACTGACCAATTATTTCGACTGCGTGACTGAGAAAAGTTCCAAGCTACCTAGTACGTATGAATTATTCGTGATATTTGCTCTTATAATCGAGCGCAGACAGAAAATGCACTCGCTTTTTCCCATAGCAATGCATTACCGAAAGTCAATTTCGGACTGGTTGCTGTCTGCTTCAATTTGCAGCAGCACACTAGCGCCAGTTGAACCTCTAGCGTACATTATAATAACTCTATGGTCTGCTTAGCTGCTTTATGAGCAGTAGCTGGTGGAATACGAGCAAGAGCAGCATGAGACACATTCAACGCTAAAGTGTCCGTTTGATGTCGAACTCACGACGATTATGTCACCATGATGCAAACCCTAGATGGTAGCCAAAAGCATCTTTTTACATCAAACACGGACTGAAGACGCCAACGGTAATCCTAATAGGTTAATTGAGACATCTACAAAATTACCCGTGTACGATTGTTCAATAAATAAATGAATATCCCAATTAACACTCCTACAACTGCACTTCTTTCCACAGGCTAACTGTCAAAAAAAAAAAAAAATTTCCTGACAAAAAAAAAAAAAATTTTTTTAGATTATTTGCTCCAAAACTCGTTGCTCCCTGCTACAAGAGCTGCTCCAAATCACCACCTTGTCAGTTCCACCATTGCAAAATTGATTTTCTCAAAAACCCCATTTTTATTTGCCTCGTTTTTTATTAGTAGCAAGGTGGTTTATTATTAGGGGTTTATTAAAAACTATAAATATAATCTACTATTTTGCTTATATGATTGCAATTAAAGCTTGAAACTATGTGCATTGTGAAATGTCAAGCTTTTTTGTGAAGTAAAATTTTACTCTGCATTGCGCACACTTTCTCTTATTTAAAAGGATGCGTGTTAATTAAAATATTGATATTAGGTAATTAAGTATACCACGCCACAATGTTGGCCAGAATAGCACCTATGCCAGGACGCAGTTATAACACAACTGACAAGATTTAAGCTTTAATTGCGGTTGTACAAACAAAATACTATATTTTCCGTTTATATTTGCTGATAACCGACAATCACCTTGCTGCCAATAAAACTACTATGCAAATAAAAAACTGGGTTTTTTGAGAAAATCGGCCACTAATTTGCTAGATTTTCGAAACATTTGTTTATTCAATTCTATGTAACATATGTAACACAGAAAACAGACACAGAAAAACACAAATCCAGAAAAAAAAAAAAAATCTGGAGAAAAATAAACTCTTTTTATTACCAAAGTACTGTGGAGTTTTGACATTTTACGTGGAGATGACGGACATTTGAATGTTTAGTGGAGGAAGCATTTTGTCCTATTCTCTAATGATTGCAGTTGGCCTCACCCTAAATATGCCACTCAACAACTTCCTGCTCGTTCGGGACTTTCTGGTCCCCCGACTGGACCAAAAGATCTACGGAAGCAGTCTCCAATGGGTCAACCGAAATACTGGTACATTTAAAATCTGCTGGGTTCACCAGGGAAGCAAGGCATGGAGCACAGAAATGGGACGCATGTTCAAGGTGAGCAGGGCTCGCAGCTAAAAGGTTGTCTGCTTCTGTTGCCCACACAGTGTCCAGGTCTTGAGGCCCTAAATACTGTGTGGAATGGGCAGAAGTTTACTGCATCCTCATTCCGCTTCCTGATGTCTCACGGAGTGGTGTATCTAGGCCATCCGGCACCCAGAGCCTTTTGTAGCACCTAGAGCCCCCCCCCCCCCCCCCCCCCCCCCCCTTCCCTCCTCTCCTTCCCCTTTTGCTCGTTAGCAGGGCTTAAAGTCTGGGGGTCTCAGGGGGTCTCAGACTCCCCACTGATTTTAACGGATGGTCTCAGACCCTCCTCCGCATCCCAGCATTAGTGAAATCAAAATGATATCTTGAAATGAAATAGCTTGTTTTGAGGGATGTGACATTTGGGAATTAGCGATTTGGGGGTCGCAATTTGGGGGTCGACTATGCCACTAGTCCCAAGTTGTCCTGAAAATTTGTATCCTCTTGCCATATGTCCCTTGACCAAGTCGTTCCTCAATTTTTGGGTGAAATTGCCACGAGTTTGATAGCTTCTTTTTGTGTTCGTATTTTTGTTACCAACATACTTTTTCCCAACATGCCAAGAATGTGTGGAATACCTTGGAGAGTAGCCACATTTCAGATTTGGCTTCCATATATGGATGCTTTCATCTTAAATTGTGCAAGAAAAAAAAATATTGGTCCTCAAAAATTCTGGAAAGAGTATATTTTGGTGGAAAATGTGTGACTAGAACAAAACTCCAAATTAAAACTATCTGTGGACATTTTTTTTTTTTTTGTCCTGAGTTTTGGATTTCGAAAGGGCAGAAGGTAGGTCGTGTGATTTTTGCAGTTTTCACTAGTGACACATTTTGGAGTCTCGCAATGTTTAGGTTATCTCCTTCACAGCAATGATCGCTTTTTTTGCTGCTCTAATACTTTGTATAGGAAGAAGGGTTAAAGTTCGCTACAACTTGTAGTGTCGTTTGTGTGTTGCCGAGGGAGACGACCAGGTAACGAACCAAAACTTGAAACTTCATTTTGCGTAGTAAGCCTCGCGCGTCTGATCTCCGACGCGCCGCCATGCATTCTCCTCTTCCGTCACCCCCTCGCCTTTGGGGCTCTTCTCACGCATGCCGGACAGGGGGATGTGGCGCCATCTGGTTCTTGGACACCACACAACTGTTTCTTTTTATCTTATTCTATTAAATAAAAATTCTTGAATCTTGCACTTCTGAGAATATTAATTATGCCAAGTTTGAATCGAGCTACCTCTCGATGTATAATTATTTAAAACATAAGCATATAATATGAAAGCTTGCATCTAAGCCTATTTAAAAGTTATAATGGTGTTAATTTAAGTATAGTTTATATAAAAGAAAACACTTTAATCAGAAGAAAAACTACAAGTACAAAATTCAATGTCTTTTTAAGAAAATAAGTATTTTTTAATTATTTTTCTAATTTTTTTTTCTATGAAAAGCTTTCTATGTGTGGGCTTTGTACTATTACAGGTCCACCTTCTTTGGTCTTTATTGTGGGTTCATCACTTATTTAAAAAAAAGCTGTGCTCAAAAGAAACAAAGTGCGTGTTTATTTTTGATTAAATACGGTAGTCAAGGTTGTTAACGTGCAGCTGTCGAAGAACAGCAAACTTTTGACTTCATTCTGGTTTCAACACCGCTAAAGAGAAGCATCACTTCTAAAGCACAAATGTAGGTATTTATATTTGTGGGTAATCGATTGTTTTTGTGTTATATTTCTGACGAGCGGTCTATAATGTATGTCCATAAAACTAGAGGGACACATTTTTTAATTGGTAGACTTGTTGGCGGATATGCTGGCTTTTCTTCTGGCATTTTACAGAAATTATATTTACAGGCTCAATAAACTACCGGGTGCAAAAAGTGGGAGGTTAGAGAGGTTTCCTCCTAACTGAAGTGTTGAGCTATGATGCTTTTTTTTTTTTACATGTGTACCAATTGTAAAAATGTAGATGGCACCTACTTTGACCAGAGCCTTATTTCTACAAAGAAGGTTCCATGTTCTTTTTGAACCCTGTCTATTCTTATTACAAAAAAGAAAATAAGTAATATGCTCCAGTATCAAAGAGGAACCCTGAATCATTATCTAGGATGAACTGATTTAGTGATTCAATCACTCTTTTTATTGTCAAGTGATATGCTAACAGATTTTGGCATCTGCTGTAAATGCTTCAGTGGCTGCTACAAACCAATAGTTTGCCTGTTACTGGGCCTGCTACAAGAGGTTATATGCCGCTTCCATCACTGTATATCTTACTACCATATTTGCTTGCAAAACGAACACTTTTCTTTTTCCTGAAAAATTTCTGCAAATTTGGGTAATGTTTGTTGCACGGGGTAGTTTTTCGAGTTACTGTGGCGCGTCTCTACTGACGGAGATGTGTTACAGTGACTATGCTCTACAAATTGCAAACCTTTGTTGGACGTTTTCGGTGTTTTCTTTGCTGAAGGGAAAACACTCTGTGAGGCCGTGGTCGGCATAATTGCAAGGTTTATTCATGGTCCCAGAATTATAGGACTTCTGGAGCATACCCAAAAAACCTTGAAATCACCCAGACTGAGGTTAAATTGTAAATTTCCTGCATTTTTTCCCCAAGAGACTTGTATGAATGATTACGGGGACTGCACCCATTCCTTGAAATAACAAAAAAAAATGTGTTTAATTAAAAGCATTTAAGGCAATGGGAGAGAATGTGTGGGTGCACAAATGATTCAATGGAGTGAGCAGAGTTCGACAATTGCAAAGCCAAAATTGGGAGCACATTCATTATGCATGGAGACAAAGGGCTCATTCACACACTTGCAACCGAGTACAACAATATTTTTTTTAGGCCTCTTGCGAAGGTGTAGGATCACATGCGCTGCTGCGGTGCAGGTCTTACCTAAGCCATTGCAAGAGGCTTAAAAACTCGGTCTCGTCTCAGCCGGTCCTACTAGGTTGCAAGTGTGTGAACAGGCCTAAAAATGAATCATTGTGACGACCATTGTAGTTGGTGTGTTCATTATGCAAGGAAATATGATATGGCTTACAACCGTATAAATACAACCGTATGAAGCTGAGCTATCTTACTAAAGGCTGAAAGCAAAGTCATCTCGCTGGTGGCTTGGCTTGCCTCTTAGGGCTTGTGTCTCCTTACACTGATCTCAATGGTCTTATTCTAGGATGGTGATAATACTTGATTCTTGGTTGGTTTGTGGATCATGTATCCTTGATGAGCATGGTTGCCAGTATTTTTGTGAAGATACACTGGTAAATTAGTTAAGTTTAAATGTTCAAAAGTTTAAATGTTTGAAAGTCATAGAATTTCTCCAATGTAGTAAGTTGAGTTGAAAATTTTTCAAACCTTCTGAATATCTTGGTCCAATTTTGAAATCTATGGGTAAAGTTAACTGCATTTCTATAGTCAGGTACAAGTTAAGAAAGTACCAGGAGCTCCACCCACATCTCATTACCAACAGCCACTGTCGTTCTGTGACGCGCGAATAGTCCGCCACTGAGGCACAGGTCGTGTTGACGTCGCATTACTCGCCATGGCTACTGTCTTTCCTGGTCTGTCCAAGGAGCGATTTGATGCGCTTGGCTGGTATGCGGTAGTGTTTATTTGGGGGATTCTTGATTCCTACCCGATCACAGTATGTGGGCCCCAAGGACAAACCACTTGGAACTAACGACCACTCCGTTCTGTGTTTCAGGACTGGGCCTTGATGAAGAACAAGTGGGATGAGGGCGATCCAGACCGCATGGTCAAGGCGAAGCAAAGAATCCGAGCCGCATTCAGCAGGCATCGGTTCGTGCAGAGGCTTCCTATGAAATCCCTGGCCTTCAGGCTGTACCGGATCAGGGGTTTTAAAAGTGAGTGACCTCATTTATTGTTTAGAGCTGAATGGATAGACTCTCCTTATCATTGCTCTCATTCTGTTTCTTGCCACTCTGTTTGCATGTCTGTGTTAGAGGCTGTATCTATGATTACATAAATAAATATTACTGTTAATTCAAGACTGCCACAGGACTGGAGCCTTAACTGTTCTGTCCAGTAACTAAGTTTCAGCTACCAAATATATCCAAAAGGCACCACTCCCTTGTTTCATTTCTGGGATATCTGGCTGCCGGGACACATGTGTGAAAGTAAAGTTGGCTGCAGTTTTGTTGTATGGAGGTTTTAACGGTGGTGGTCTGGACTGAAGTGGCATTTGGTGTCTCCACTTTAAATGGTCAATTGAGCCAGTGCAGTACAGCTGCTTACCTGGGGTACTTAGACTGCATTATGTAGTAGTGATACGCGACTGCTTGCGGTTGCAACGCTCATCAAGTTCGAGACAGGCGTGATCACTTCTACAGTGCAAGCTTTCACTATGCTCTGAGCTCGTATGCACTAGCACATTCTGTTAACTTCATCCCAGGAGACACTGAAGACACTGTTTTTAAAGTAGCGAATAAAGGAATGACAAAGAATTAGTGTTGCATAGATTTCGCTTTCACTATGGATAGTGAAAGCTAAATCTGTTGATAGTATTATCAATAGCCGACTATTGTAAAACTATCGGGTATCGATAGTTTCACGATACTCGACTACAATAGTTTTATGATACAGTCGCCGATTGTTTTTTCGGACTTGTTCAATATTTCGGACCTAAAGGAGTAACGACTTACCCCATTAAAATAGTGCATATTCACAACTAGTGTTTCGGACAGCTTGAAGTCCGAAAGTTTGATTATTCGGACAAAATCGTCGTGAGCGATCAGTGGGTAACACCACCGAGAAGCGGCTATTTTGAATTCTATGTTGGCTGCAAATGGATTGACTTGGTTTGGCAGCGCTACTTGAGTACTCCAGAGTCCTACCGCGAGGCGACGATATGCTAGCCTTTTTTTTCCATTTAGCTGCACGCCATCAGCATAATCATTATTATCATCTTTTGCCTCCACCCCACTTTCGCGTCGCCATTTTGCGCTCGTGGAATTGCGCCTGTCATCTCGTTCAGACAACGCTGGCTTGGACGTCATGGCTCCATGTCTGTTCTTCTGCTGCCGCGATGTGTTGTTAAGAAGCGCAGAAAGTCCTGGACCATAACGCTAAAAAAAAAAGCAGCGATTTTCAAGCTAACAGAAAGTTGCGGAACACAAACAGAGGCGCAACCTAAAACAAAGGCACGCAGGCGTAACCTCAAGCGAGGCACTACTTACGGCTGTTTTAAGCCCACTTGGAAGTAATAAAGGCAAGTTTTTCAATCTGCTGATTTTTCGGACTGCTCTATTATTCGGGCATTGTTTCGGTCCCTGCGAAGTCCGAATAATCGGTCGGCCACTTTAGTCGACTATCGATGGTAGATGGTATACTATCGGTAGTCGACAATCCATAGTATACTCACAATAGTACTATTCATAGTTTTATAAGAGTTGACTATCGATAGTTTCACAATCGTCAACTATCGATAGTATATATAGTCCGTGATCATGAAACTATCGACTTCCACATAATTATTGAGGAACATCCTAAAAACCAAGTGGAAAACAATCAGAAAATAGTAGACTCCTCCTTAGGATGTATTGAAAGTAAACCATCGAAAAACTGTTAATTGTATACTATTGAAAAACTACAGACTGTATAATATAGAAAAACTATCGATTGTATACTATTGAAAAAAATATTGATGGTATACTATTGAAACTGGATAAAAGATATTGGTAGTAAAATCTCAATATTTTTCTTGATAGGTAGTCGAAGTTTTTTTTTTTTGCCTTTTAGATTATTGCTTTAAAGGGGCCCTGCAGTCATACTTAAGTGTCTGTCTGTCTTGCGGTTTCCGCGTCTCTTGCGGTTCGAGCAAGGCAGCGGGCATGGAGAGAGTAACTAAATATCAGTGCATCATACTTTAACCAGTCGACGCGGAAACCTCCTCCACCGACGGGGGAGACCCGCGGTCCCGAAAGCGCGCGATATGTGACGTCTTTGGTCCTGGGCTTACTACTGGTCAGAGCCGCGAAAAGCTCTTTTTAGTCGAAATACAAAGTATAAGTGGCGCGAACCGTTTCAATTATTTATAAAAGTAGTTTTTGTTTAGTATTTTAGATCAGAAAAGAAACAAATGCAGTTTATAAAGTATGGAAACAAGAAATGACCCGTCGACATGCCCGCCATCAAGCGGTAGAAAAGGCGGCGCATACTAGAAAGGAGTAGTGGAATCAGGCGCCGACACTGAAAGGTCCCGGATGTACGCAGCGGCGCTGCGGTCGTTTACGGACTGGAGGATCCGACCAACTCCGAGCATTCCGAAGGCCTTCGGCGAGCAGCTTTGTCTTGCGGTTTGGCCGTTCCGCGGTATGGCAGCGTGAAGTGGCCCCCCATTCTGAACTAATCTTTACCCCGTGTTTGCTGTCGTTCGTGGCCAATGAAGTGTCATGCCGAATTAGTGTCTAATCGTGCAGCAAATGCAATGAGAGCCGCTCTGGCTACCCGCTGTATACAGCCTATCCAGAACATGCTTTAGTGGCACCCTCTCGCGCCGTTGACATGGAGTGCGGCAGCTGTGAACGCTCGCTGAGTTCACTACCCCTCCTCTAGTTCACGGCCACTCAAGCAACCAAGGACGTCATGAAGGAGGTTATTTTTTGCTTGTTTTTGTAATTTTAATTTGCCTATAACTTTTAAAATAAAGCGAAATTCAAGAAAAGAAAAGTTTCATTAAGTTACTACGTTCGGTGCGCTTGGGTGCAGTGCAAATTAAAGACCAGTAAAAAAGTGCTTGCAGGGCCCCTTTAAAAGCTGGTTCAAATGCTTGCGTTTGAGTGCGTTTGACTGCGTTGCGTCGAGAACCGAAAGCGGGTCACCGGCCCATCTGTGCTTCGTATGAAGCGTGGAATCCAATTCAAGGAATTATCTTGGCACGCAATATAAGCAGCAGGGATGTCCTGGTTTCTCGTAGCCGCAACTCTGTCAAACGCAACTGCCTGAACCAGGCTTTAAAGTTTGCATTCCTTTTATAGGCACAGTTCTGCTTTTAGAGTTCGCACTTTGCTTTCTAGGCAGAGTTCAATCAGGAAAATAAAAATTCCTTTCTCGCCCCTGATAAGTAAACTATGCATCACATAAATTGGAAGCTCTGCTTGAATATGATGCTAGTGATGGTGATTGAATGCGAAAGTATGTGTACATGACTTTACCCAAATGAAAAGATAAGTGTGGCTTTTTTTTTTCTCCTACCAAACAGGTTGCGAGAGAGGAAGGGAACAATATTGCTTTTCAAGTTCAGAAGCTCTTTTCACTGAAATAATGTGTCAACAATATTGTTACTTGGATTACAGGGCATTTTCTTTTTTATCTTCTATTTTTGATCCAGTTAACATTATGGTCCCAAACTTATTGTATTTGAAGAATGAAAAAAATTAAAGCATCAGTGAGTACCTAACCATGTTGGCTTGGTATAAGCTTTTTTTTATGTGTTAATGTTAAAGTTGCAGCGTCCATATAAAAATCTGTTACATTTATTGACTCAAAAATATTTAGACATCATGTGATGTCTCCTGTATTTTGAAATTGTATTTTATAACAGCGGATTAATAATTTACCAGTTACCATCATTAAAATCTGCTGAGATAGAACCAAACAAAAAGTGACAACATTTCATGGCAAACAAGACTAACTGCCTTTGTCAACAGCTAAATCCCGATTTTTGGGAATTCACTATAAATAATCATCATCACATTACCAGAAAAAAAAAAAAAAATATGATGCCCAGCAGGGTGCTTTTTTTTTCAACCGTCAGTAGTCAAGACTATGAAAGGTATTATGCAGCAATTGAATAATAATAAGAAACACAACCATGAGACGAACATTTGAAGGACTCTGATGCTAAATGTCTTCAGAGACTGTTTTCCTTAACTCCAAGACAAACAACAAAACAAAAACTTATACATTTTAGTGTTACAAATGCGGGCATACTGAAGTTCGAAGCCTGCTATCTTAACCCCAGCGATATACAAAATATGTGCACAGGAAAAGTAGAAAAACATCATTTCTGTTTTATCTCTAATGTCATTGTATGCGAATGCAACTTCATGTTTGGTTTCCTTTCGATTTCATTTTTTCCCCCCAGAAAACCGCATTGTCTCCCCGTACATGTCCGCAATCATTTCCTTTTTTGGGCTTTGCTTTCATTTTCGTAACACTCGATAGTGTTTTTGAAGTTAACTTTCAATAGTATCAATAGTCAACCAAAAGCCAACTATCGATAGTACCGTATTTACACGATTGTAAGTCGACTCGAAAGAAAAATCTTTCGATGCGCATTTTACTGCGAACACGCGATCGATGCCTTCTGGCGTGCTTTGGCTGCGCATCGCGCGAGGTGCATGAGATGCCCAGGCGTTATCGAAACTAGGAAGTTTACGCTGCAGGCAGGACAACTGAAGCTTCTCACTGTCGTTCTCACTCCGTCCGCGACTTAGACTACGACTCGTCCGCACTGGTGATGTCAGTCCCGTCGTAATCACTGCCACATTCTCGAAGCACGTCGTCGGAGTCGTCCAACGAAATCTCGCACTTTGTAAATGGCAGGATCAACCGCATCTTCCGCGCTTGGTCGGCGATCGCGTTGGACGTCACGGGTAGGGACCGATTGCACACTTTTGCGCCGTACGTTGCAAGCCTGACCTCTAACTCCAGGAGGCATCCCCACCTATCTAGACTTTGGCCTGAAAGCTGTTTTTCGGCACATTTTAAGGTCCCTTGCCATTGCAGACTCCACTGGAGCATCACCCGCTCCGACGGGTCGAACTTGCGTCCACCAGCGCACTTGTTGGTTGATTCTGAGTGAAGAATGGCCATAAACTAGCACCGAAAACCTGAACTGCCCGGATCACGCGTGTCAATACAAAATAAAAGTAGTTAGCGCCCCAGCATGATCTCGACACTTGATCAAACGATGTGCGACTGTGATTGCGCGAAAAACTGCGAAGTCGCGAGCTTATTTATTGTGGTCGCGAGTAGCTCCGGAGTGGCTCTTACAAGAAGTGCCGCCACCCGTCAGGAGTCAGGCGCGCCGTGCGCTGTTCACCGCCGTGTATTCGGGTTAATTTGTGAATCGCTATCAATAATACTCGTTCGCGCAAAGAATAGTGCAATGCTAGAGGTACAGCCGGCTGAACTCGTAACAAGCCGAGGTGTTTATAATATCGCGATTGTTTCGTTTTTGCCCACGGTGGAATGCTTTGGTTCGATTATAAGTCGACCCCCCGCTTCAGATTTTCAAAAATTAAGAAAAGGGTCGACCTACATTTGTGTACATACGGTACTAGCGATAGTTTTTGACATTATCGATGGTTTTGAAAAACTATCGATAGTCAATTTTTCAATAGTTTAGCATCAGTACAAAAAATGCATTAAAGGTTTTTGATGCAAACTTCTTCCACCTTCTGGGCTGTGGTTGTGGGGATGGTCCCTGGGACAGCAGACAGTTGAGCAGACTACCACCCTCCTCTTCTGTCTAAGCACCCCTCCTTGCCAGTTCCTGTGGTTTCAATGTAAACACCCCACTGGTTCCTTCTGGGGGGTGGTCTGGGACTCCCAACTGGAAGTCTTTGTTTATGGCTTCAGAACACATTCACAAAGCATACGGGACTGGACGCACTGCTTTAGCTTTGTGTAATGTTAACAATTCAGCCAGCAGTCCTTGATCAGAAAGGACATACCTCCGATTCTGATCATGATTTCTCTTTCCTTACATCAGGTTTCGTGACCTGCCAGAAAAAACCAGAAGGAAAGGCAGAACCAAAGCTCAGGTCAGCCACACCCACTGGTCTGTTCACCGGTCCAGTTTCATGGCCTATGAGCGAGTTCGTCGAAGAGTTTGTCTGGTTCTTCGATGAATTCGAAATCTTTTCCAATGTAAGTGGCAGCCCCTGCCAAGGGGGACATAAACCATTTGTGTGCTTGAACTACCCGAACCCACTCAAAACGAGCTAGCAAAGCAGGTGGCTCTGCGCTTTCCCACTTACTTCATGCTGTTATCGGTAGTTTCTTCTCCTTGGCATAGATCAGATAGAGTTGGGAGGGGAGAGGTAGAGCCTGTGGACATGCTTTTAAAAGAGAGCAGAGTAGTACAATCTGGGGCAACCTCTCTCCCTTTGTGTATTCAAGAACAGCCTACTTTCATAGCCTTGAAACCTCAATATTACAACATCTTGGACACCCGAGACTAGATGTTGAAAGTTCACCAGGTCGCCTGCATCTTTGTTATTACCATCAATATTGCTCTGTGCTACAAGTAATCTGTATCACTGTGTACACAAACTCAAACCCATTGTTTCCTTGTTTCCCAAGTTCCACAGGAAAGAGCTGTTTTGCTGTGAACATTGGGAGTGCTTTCTAAATTTTAAAAGTAAATGCATTTTTCATTTCAGAATATCACTTCTAATTATTTTTCAGGCTGTTTATGCAATCACTTCGCTTGACTAACATGTTTGCTCTTAGGCAATCCCAACTAGAGTCTCTAAATAAAGCTACGCTTTCACAATACCGAAACTCTCAAACTACGCGTCTGAAGCGCGTCAGGCGCTGCCATCTTGGGTCCGCGCGCAGAGGGAGGAGTGACTGTAGCTGAGCCAAGCCGAGCTGTAGCCGTCGCCTGTGCCAGCTGCGGCGGCCGCAGCTCTGGCAGCGAATCAAAGTCGTGTTGTTCGTATCTCGACGTAACACGGAAAATGCGCGTGCTGAGCACGCACATTTTCCGCAGCAGCAGGCAGAGAGGATAGCTGGACCCAAGATGGTAGCGTTGGAAAAACGCGATGATGATGATAGCGACTCACGTGACTGCTGCTGTCCAGTGATGCCGCAGCGAACCAGAATATTGTTGAATAGAGCGACTGTATTGTCGGCAAAATGCCAAAGAAAAGGAATGCGGTACTCTGTAAGTGCAGCTTATTCAATGACTCTAATCCCAACTACATGCTGGGCTGGCTGTGCGAGCGTTTTGCAGGCTGGCTTTCCCTCACTACTGCCCTGTGGCAAGGCTGGCACGACTGCTAACTCACACAGATTCTTCTACCTTTGCTTTGATTTTATGTTGCTCCTAGAATTCTAGGATCGGTCATTTGAGTGTGCATCTCCGTTTGTTTCCCACTTATCCCCCGTACATGCCTTTCTGAGAATCAAAGTGAGATGTGAACTCATTCCCCTCTGTCCCTCTTGACAATAAATAATTGCGTAGTGTAGCTTGTGGGAGGTTAAACGCAAGGCAAGAAATGCACCAGTGTAGAGAAGATTAATCCAGTTCTCTGCCACCAGCCTTCATTTCAGTTTCTTCAATCTAAAACGGCTAGACACTCGGTGATTTAAATGTTCTTTTAAATATAAAACAAAGTGTGTGTGTGTGTGTGTGTGCGTTTTTTTGAGGGGATCCAGGTTGTGGCTGGCAAGAAGTGTGTTTTTATATTTCTGTACTAAGTTCATGAGTGAGACTAATTAGTTTTGTTTTAAACCGTACGACTTTTACCCATAAATGTTTACCGTAATACATGTGCAAGGTATGAAGCTCTTGGGTAGCAAGATCCCAATCTGCATTCCTGCCAGTATTTTCACCTGTGCATGGCATTCAACTGCATGAACTGGATGTGCTACTAGCTTATATTCTACCTCACTAGTTGTGCTCAGTGCAGTCAAAGCCACGGGTGGGAGAGTGAGGAAAGCCATTTTCGTATGAATATTGAGTGACTGGCTAATCCCTGAAGGGGTGCAAAGCAATGAGTTGGGGGAGTCCCAAAAAGAGGGGAATTCCTCCTTCCCCTCCTCTCCAACTATTTGGGTTACGGACAGCCCTGTACCTTCGGCAGCGCCGTGCTTAACTGGTGAGATAGAGTATAGTATGCAGTATGATGTTGGTGAGTGCAAAGTCTATGTTATTTATTGTTCTCACATGTTTTCGTAGGGTCTCATAGGCCTGGGGGTTTCCTCCGCTCAAATTCAGCATTGATTGGAAGATTAGTTCTTGTAATTGTGCTCAAAACCAAATTCCTTTTTTTTCCCAGGACATGTCGTTGCCTCGACCGTGGTGGTGGGAAGTGAGTAAAGATTATTGCGTTTTCATAAATTTCAGTGTTGCACAGCAATATTATTGGTACATATAAATAACTTTGTTAAGTGCCAGCACAAGCAGAAGCAAAATTTATTGCATGCTTTGAGCAGATCTGGATTGTTCTTGCTGTAGCATATAGCAGGGGTGATGTGTAAGGATAATTCAAGTAGCTGATTTGCTAATGATGTGGTTTCCTTAAAGGCCGACCTGCATGTCGCGCTTTCCACTTTTGTCTGCCGTCTCCTTTCCCATATCCTCTCCGCTTTTTACCTTGCCCCACTTGGCTCCCCTCGCAGCTGAGGAGAGGGGAGCACTAAGAGGATTATCTTCCCTGCTGAAAACCGAGGTTGTAGTGGGTAGAAAAACTAAAGTAGTAAAAAAAATAGTTGTAGTCATATATGCAGTGATACGATTGCTGTGCCAAAGTGCTTACCCTGCCACATCCTGCTACATTTAGCCCAAATGTGAAAACCTTGCGCGAACATTGCGCCAAAATTGATTTCACATTGTTAATATACAATGGCTGGGGCCCCGCTACATGTCTGGATCGTTATGATAGGCTTGTGTGAATTCTCAGAACTTAAATTTTAGCCGCAAATAACATACTATCCTCTTTGATCTCTTCTCCGTCAGTGTTAAACACTGGCAGTACTCTGAATTTTCGCAATATCTCTTACGTTCCTGGTCTGCTCTGGCGTGTAAGTTCGCTTTGTTGAGTGTGCTTCTCATCGCACTCTTGTGTACTGCAGTGAAGCGGCAACCTCGAAGTAAGCATCACAATTTTGCTTGCCTTGCTTCGCCGCGGTGCATCTGTGCGCTGAGGGGAAATCAATGCCCCAGAGCAAGACATAAACATGCAAAAATTAAGTATCTTAACGGAAACTTTGTGAGTGTAATGTATCAGCTCTTAGTTGCAGTAAAAATTTCTGAATTAAACTACGGTTATTATTTATGATAGACTGCGGTATTCTGGCGATAGCTGTTTTCTGATTTGGGATTTAGTGAGGGTACTCGGAAGAAAATTTATATGAACTGCTCTATAGGTTTATTTTTATTTGAACTCCGTTGTTTGGTTGTCACCTTTATATATGTTTTATCCATTTGAGGCAGTCAATAGAATAAATTAAAACTCAACTATGCGAAGCAGTAGGAGGAGGAGGCTTGGGAATAACCTTAACAATTTTGGCTGGATTGTTTTAAGACTGCATACCTTTAGAACTTGAATGAGACACCATTTTGTGTGCTCAAGATTATTTTAACATTAATTTAGTGAAATGGAGTATTTGGTTTAAATTTCATTTCATACCTAAAATGACCATTCATAGCGGTCCATGCTGTCCTTCATCGATCATTATGGAGCACCTCAGATGTTTAGCACCTCAGGTGTTTGGCATCATGGTGATGTGTCCAAATTACAATAGTGCAGTCTGATAAATCCCACTTCCTAAGTTTTGCCTCCTCTTGCAGGACACATACCCTGGTGACTCTGTTGCCGCCATTGAGGCACCCATTCTCTGAAGGCTCCAGACGCTGCTTGTGCACAAATCATCCTAAGTTGGCGGGAAAGAAGAAATCCGCGTTTGATTTTCCCAAGCCCTGTGCTCCTTTTTTTTTTTTTCTTCTGGAGGTTGGGATGCTTGTGCGATATTCATTATCAAGTCGGTATTACAATTCACCATTATTGTTTGTTTTCCCTTGTGTATACTAGTCATAGTCGTCATCTGTACATAATTCCATGAAGAGCAGAAATAAAGACGTGTGTTTTATGAATAACATTTTTTTCGGAGTCGCAATGGTTTTGGGAGATGAGTCTTTCATGGACACAATTCGAAGTTTATATTTTACAGTTTGGCAGAAATGTTTTATAGAATGTGACATATATGATGACAAACGTTTATTGGGCTTCATATGTAGCAGCCTTCTAACGGATAAAGTAACACCACTTCTCAGCAAGAACAGAGCGATTTTCGTTATGCCGATCTACACATTTTTATAGAACTAGTCATGAATTATGTGATACAGCTCATTTTAATAAAGAAAAAACACTACGTAGGTTACAAACCAACTCCAAATGAAGTGTACACTTTGGACAAGTGTTGCGTGAAAGTTTCTAAGCAAACAGTACATAGCATTTACACCTCGTGAATATATGTACAGCCTCCAATGGACATAAGGAACGTTCTTAAGGAACGTAGCAGCCAAAAGGGGTATCACCTTACACCCTTTTGTCACATATAATACACCCCAAAACTTTGTTTCGACGTACAGCACCCTATAGTTGAAGAGACGGCCCTAAATTTTACGAGGGGCTTGATAACGGTGCGATATAACTTTTTAAATAGCTAAAGTATGTATCAAAGACCACATAAAGAAAACAAGAGTTTTTGCATTAGGGCCAAGAAACCCTGATTATTTTCTTATAGTCAGTAAAACGTACATTAGCTATTTTAATAAGTTGTACCACACGGCTATCAAGCCCATCGTACAATTTGGGACCGTCTGTTCGGCTATAGGGCGCTGTACGTCGAATTGAAGCTTTGGGGTGTATTATATAGGACAAAGAGTGTAACAATACACCCTTTTACACCTTTTTTTTTTTTAGAGTGCAGGGTTCTTTCCTTCCCATGAATAAAACAAATTGGGTGAGCTGGTCGTCCTGCTTCTTGCGCAGCAGTTGCAGTGACGTCAAAACGACGCGGAGTTCTGATTGGCTTTGACTGAAAGGGTAGTGGGTAGACCTCAATACTAGATGCCTTGAGGTCTAATCACTATTTTTAATTGACGTTCTGACATCATCGCAATCCCTGTGCAAGAAGCAGACGAACTTGCGCTCTGCATTCAGCACATTTTCACTTTTGCATTTCTTGCCTCCTCACGATAACATTTCCCAAACCAGTTATGCATTTTCCAGGGTTAGTACACTCAGTACAACAAAGAATATTAAGAGACGGTGTGTGGAGAAACCACTTACATATACATATATATATTTTTTTAATAACTGCTCTTGGTAAAAGTGTGAGGGCTAGCTACGAGTAAGACAGCAACGTAATTGGTTCTGGAACAAACTTGCGCTGTAATGAGGTCGAGTACACGCATACTTATATAAAATGCGATTGGATGGTCTGTAGTAAAGCTGCGCAAATACTTTGCTTGGTTTCAGCTATACCGTGTTGTCTGTACCCTTGTGATTTAGAATGATCTGCAAAGTCTTGCAGCTTGCAGGTCGCGAACAAAATCCAACTAAATAATGATCAGGCAGAGGCGATGCTTAGGATAACAGTTGCACTATTCACTTTGTCGGCAATTTGTTGTCTAGTGTCCGATATCGCTTAATTCGATTGAACTAGAGGGGTACGTTAGCAGCACCCCGGACCTTCTCTCTATACCAGACACTTAACCCGCTGCGTCGGGCGAATGCCGGCTGGCTCTAGAATTTTCGAGTCGTCAAAGCAAAGTGCACATCGCGGTACAGTACCGAAGGTCCGATTACAACCGACACACAGCAATATCTCACTCGAAAATGGCACGCGGGACAGCCTCGATAATTACCAGCCAGTCGTATTTACGGGCGTATGAACCACACATCCCGGGAATAGAGAAATCGGAAACAAGGACTGCTCTCCATCTGCCGCATTTGGATATAGCACCTCGGTACCAGTTTGCTCAACTTCACGTACGGGTCCAGTTGTTTCGTCGGAAGGCTTATACTTTAGCAGTACTTTGCGAGTGGTTCGTAATCGGTGATTAAAAATTTCGAACACGTTACATCGAAAAAAAAAAAAGTAAAAAAGCTGAAGTTCTTGGATTACCCTGGTTTTGGTTTGAGAACAGGAAGCTGGGAATGAGCGGGTCAGGCGCCCGCAAACACGGCAGTTAAGAAAAGCCGAGCAACTGGACTGCTACGGTATGTACACACGGGCTGAACCGCACACGCCACACGCTGCAACGCCTCAGTGCGTCTTGTTGTAGTTGCCCTCGTCCTTGTAACCGCTGACGTAGCCGGACTCGCTCGGAAGGTCCTCCCGGCCTTCCTTGCCCTTGCCTTTGCCCGTCTGGTCGAAGCGCTGCTTGTGGGTGCCAGTGTACTTTGTGTGGTCCGTTAGTCGGGCCACGGCACCCCCCGTCGCCACTGGCTGCAACGGAGCGCCATCGTGATCAAGTCGCTTTCTGACAACCGGGGCCGACTGAGGCTCCACAGAACTACAAATGACCATGAACTCCTCTCCCACCTCTTTCCACTTCAGCAGAGCGAACGCTGGAGAGAGGCGACTTCCTCTCCAGCGTTTGCTCTGATAATGGGGAAAGGGCCGGGATGAGCTTCCCCTGAACTCTTCACCTGTCACGACCCTAGTCATGCGACTCCATTGAAACTCGCCGCCGGAGGAACTGTTTTGTTCAGCAAGGTGAGGTGACTAGCGATAAAACACGTGGAAACCAAGAATACGGGAACGGGGCAGAGGTATACAGCAGTGATGTGATCGCTGCGCCGTTTGCGCCGGAATGACACATCCTGCTACGTTTCACCAAAATGTGAGGAATTTCCGCCAATTATCCCCAACACTTCCTTGGACAAGAACACCTTGCGCCCTCGGCGCTTTGCTAAATGCACTAAAATCAGAGTTTCAACTGAACAACCATCGCAATGTTCCCCGGAAAATAAAATATAAATAAGCAGTAAATTAAACTTGGAAAAGTTTCTCTGGCATTGAATCCTATAGGCCACATTTATAAACCAAGTTCTGCTTGTTTTTTGGTAAAATATCGTAATGATCCCAGGAGCTATAATTGCGTGTATCATAGAACGCAAATCGGTTCGAATTTTGATATTTCCTTGAAAACGTTTCAATTCACGGACGTTTCTTGTGCTGATCTGGGTAGGAATCTACGTAAAGTCATCTCAACCGCAATCCCCAATGCATTGCGGAAAAGCGACTTCGATTGTGTTAGCGAAATATTTTGTAGGTTGTGGGAATTCATATTTTATTTCGTTAAAACGTTATTTCAAATAACAAAACTTTTTGTTTCGTAGAATAAAGCGTGATTATGCATAAGCACATTCATCCAATGAGTCATCCCGCACAAATTTGGAATAACGTTTCTGCAGGAAGGTTCCCAGATAACATAGCAAAGAAATAACAAGTCCAACATTATGCATATATAGGGTGATTTCAGATAAGATCGACCAAAGAATGGCTAGTCGACATTTTCAAATCAACTGATGTTTTTATATGTTATTGTCTAGTGTCTGGTATGAACGAATCCAAACTTAGTTTTGACTAGAAAAAATACTTGGGGACAGGAAAAATCGTAAGGCATGAGGTGGTGGACAGTTGCATTAACGCGCACTGATGGAGGGGGCCCGTTTGAGAGTGAATAACTAAAGCGATAACATAAGGAGAACTCTAATACGTTTTAGGCGCAAACTATGGGTATAGCTTGCTTGTAATATAAAGTAATCATATTGATTTAAAATTTATTTATTTTTCTAAAAATTGACAAACATGCCTGCTCGAACGACAAATGGCAAACTTTGGAGGTCTGAATCTCATGAAATAATTTAATCATTATGATATAATTTGCAGATATTATTCTACTAATATATAGCTAATATTTAAAAAAATAACTAAGGTATCTGTGTGATACAATAGTTAGGATATATTTAGTCAAACATGGAAAAAAAATCTAACAAAGAAAAATTCTGATGCGAATAAAAAAAAAAACACCACCCTCGATTTTTTTTTAATTTAGGTAACCTGTTATACTCTATTTCGGCATTCATTTCCATTAAAAACATGTTGCATCATTTTATTGAGAAAGAAGATACAACTCCCCAAAGTAGGGTCCTTTTTCAAAGCCTACACTTAGCAGTGTTTTATACAAGAACTGACTCTGAGTTCCAGTTTTATGAAACCAACACACATCTTTTATATATTTTTATTCAGATGAGGCCAATGATAACTAAAGAAATCGTTCACACACTTAAATTAAGGAGAAACTACTGTGTACAAAGAGGTATCATATTACGGACTAGTGATCCGAGAAAAGATCATGCAGCCATCGGCCACCAGGAACTTTGTTTACTTTATTCTCCTGCGACACTATATGCTATTCCCTCTTCCGCTCTACCTTCATCTCTCTCTCTCTCTCATATATATCCAGAACAAAAACGTGTTCAAGCATTCCCTTTCTGCGTGGTAGTGTTCTGTGGCTAGCAAAAATCATTTCCTCGCTAAGCTCACGATTATGGCAAAATAGTTGCCGGAAACCGCAGACGACACTCGTCGCTAGTTCTGGCGAAACGGCCGATACAATCTTTTTTTCGCATTTCCCCGCTCGCTGTCAAGGACAAGGGGGTTCGCTTCAACCAGCAAAACATGGCCGCCTACGCCTGTTTACTGAGCAGTCATGCCTGTCGCCATCTCACTCGCTGGCGTCACGGGCGATAATATCAGGCACAAAGGGGCACACCAACCGGCAGCATTATCCCCAAATACTCGAGCCTCGCGTAAATACATAGAGTGTAAACGCTGTCGCCATGTTATCGTAGTAAGACCGCCCCCCCCCCCCCCTCCCCCAACGGGGGACTGCAGTACGCGACGGCGTACTAACACAACGGCGACGATATCCACATCGCGGGCTCCGAATTTTCCCATAGTTCTACTCCACGGGCATTTCTCGAAACGCTTGATATTGTGTACGCCCGCCTGGAAGGATTTCAGGCGCGTAGTTAAGATAAGGCGGTTCTCCGCGGCAAAAGAAAGCAATTTCACAAAAGCTTAAAAGCGGCGGCGACGCGTGTGCGGTGAACGCTTGTAGTTTTGGTGTAGACAGGGTGTGTGTGTTCTCGTTGTTGACACCAGCCGGCGATAAGGCACTGCAGCCGGTAGCTCAGTACAGCAAGGGCTAATCCGAGTGACCATCAACGTAACCCCACCGCCAACCCCTCAAATCATTAGTCTCTAATATGATACCACTTTGTACGCTTATGCAAAATGCTGTATATAGTTTCTCCTCCCTTTTACTGTGTGACCGATCGCTCTTTTTATCAATGACCTCATCTGAATAAATGTATATAAAAGATTTGTGGACGTTTCATGAAACTGGAACTCAGAGTCACTTCTTGTATAGGACACTGCTAAGTGTAGGCTTTGAAAAAGGACCCTACTTCGGGGAGTTGTTTCTTCTTTCACAGTGCAATGATGCAACATGTTTTTAATACAAATGAATGCCGAAATAGAGTATAACAGGGTACCCAAATTTTAAAAAAATCGAAGGTGGTGTTTTTTTTTATTCGCATTGGAATTTTTCTTTGTTTGATTTTTTTCCCATGTTTGCCTAAATATATTGTAACTATTGTGTCACTCAGATACCTTATTTATTTTTTCAATAATAGCCATATATTAGTAAAATAATTTCTGCAAGTTATGTAATAATGATTAAGTTATTTCATGAGATACAGATTTCCAAAGTTTGCCATTTGTCGTTCGAGCAGGCATGTTTGGCAATTTTTAGAAAACTAAATAAAATTGTAATAAATATTATTACTTTATATTACAAGCAAGTTGTACCCATAGTTTGTTTGTAAAAAGTTTTAAAATTCTCCTAATTTTATTGTTTTAATTATTCACTTTCAAACTTGCCCCCTCCATCAGTGCGCGATATTGAAACTGTCCACCTCTCCCTGCCTTACGATTTTTCTTGTCTCCAAATTTTTTTTCTGGTCAAAACTAAGTGTGGATTCGTTTATACCAGACACTAGACAATGTCATATAAAAACATCAGTTGATTTAAAAATGTCGACCAGCCACCCTTTGGTCGATCTTATCTGAAATCACCCTATAGGCCTTTAAATGTATGTTACTTGTTGCCATAAAACCAGTCTCATAGCCCAAGCTTTCTAGTACACGCCTTGAGGCCTTCACGCGCCTCTTAATTGGTGCACTAAAAGAAAATGTTAAACTAAAAAAAAAAAAAAATTGCCATGCTCCTCGGGGATATTTTAGAGGACAGTCGGAGAACATCAATAAGCAGTAATAAAGTTTTTGACTGACATGGTAACCCTGGAGCCGGGGAAAAGAAGGGATGTAGGACAGAGACAAAACTCTAAAACGCAGCTAAAGTTTTGCATGCGTATAGTTTTTATGCCACGGCTCTATAAATTGTTTTGCATTGAATCCTATAGGCCACATTCTCTTAATGTTCCCGAGTTCTATCATTGTCTGGGTATCATAGACTGTAAATCAATTTGAATTTTGATATTTCCTTTGATGCTTTGCTTATTCCACAAACCTTTATATATATATATATATATATATATATATATATATATATATATATATATATATATATATATATATATATATATATATATATATATATATATATATACATATATATATATATATCTAAGTAGGATTGTTTTAAGACAACACAACCGCGTGCCTGGGGGCATTTGCGGAAAAGCGACTCCGAATTTGGTACACTGCAGAGAAGCTACACCCGCGCGGTAGACCTCGCGACTCTGCATATGGATGATTTTATCTCAAATCGTGCAAGAAAAAATAATTAAACCTCAAAAAATTCTCCAAAAAAATATATGTTGGTGGAAATTGTGTGACTAGAACAAAACTGCAAATTAGAGAACATTTTTTTCTCGAGTTTTGGGCTTCGAAAGGGCAGAGATACGTCTTGCCTTTTTTTTTTTTTTTTTTTGCTTTCTTTTTTTTTTTTCTTCAGTTTTTACGATTGACACAATTTGAAAACTGGAAACTTAGATTTTTTTATTTTTTCTCACAGCAATCAGCCTTTTTTTTAGGGGAAAGTTCTCTAGAAGTTTCTTTTTGTTATTTTATAAAATAATCGTGCACCTTTGACTATAATAGGCCACGTTTGAATTGAGCTAGTTTTCGATGTACAATTATGCAATACATAAGAAACATATCAAACGAAAGCTTGTATCTAAGCCAATGCCAATTTAAAAATTATAAAATTGTTAATTTAGGTATAGTTGATATGTAAGAAACGACACTAAACTTAAAAAGTATGCAAAAATACAAAATTCAACGTCATTTAAATTTTTGTTTTTCAATTATTTTATATGTAAAGCTTTCTATGTGTTCTTATATATGCAGTA